ATTCATTACATTGGCAAGCTTCCCTTTTGTACTAGGAATATTGCTGGTGCTGAAAGAGTAGTGTAGTTTGAAATATCCCGAATTGGAGTATAATAAGTCTTACACTAAAAAAATTTTCTTGCTGCGACTTTTTTCCATGCTTGGCGATTTACTTTTCATGCTGGTGAAGTCTTTTTTTTTACAACAATAATAATACTATCAACCATCACAGCGCATACCCCTTGGGTGGCTCCACTGCCAACACCGAGTGGTTCGGGTCGGTCTCGTGCCTCGACGACCCTGTCATCAAGTTGGTTGTCATTTCAAATCTCCATTACAACCAGCTCTAGACTATCAACCATCATCCTTGTTTAACAAACAGGAGTACATTTTATTTGGATACTTTGCAATATCAACAGTTCTGGTGTCAATGTGATCAACTAACTTGGCATTGTGGCAGCAATACAATTTGCAGGGCTTGGCTGAGAAGTACGGCAAGACGCCGGTGCAGCTTGTCCTCTGGTGGGTCTGCAGCGTAACACAGTGGTGATCCCCATGACCTCCAAGGCACAGTAATACATTAGCACGCCACTTTATATACCTTCACTCATTGGGACATGTTTAGTTTCAAGCATGAGCAATTGCCAAAGTGAGGACAGGAGCTTGCATATGTATGTAACTGTGATGTGAACATGTCATGCTTTTTCTCTCTCTCTTAAAGGGAGCAAGTGTCTGCAAGATTAAAATGTTTGGAGTATAGTGGTAACGTGTGCTCTTATTGGTTCATTCTCAAATGGATTGTGCGATTTTATATTGCTAGCAGTTCCATATGGATAGCTTGATCTTGGAGGTATTTCTAATAATGCCTCTATTAATGTTTGAAGGCGTTCTAGAGAACGCCTCTAAATAGTATTTTTGGCCATAGAAACATCTGGTGAGTACAAACCGAACAGAACCTCTGTCTTCAAAAAGGTGAAGGCCAGAGAATGGGCATGTGGTCCAGTGGTAGGTCTGTCTAGTGGGACGCTACCCATCTGGATACAAACCCTAGTGATCGTATCTTTTTCTAGAATTTTTCCAGAAATTTTAGGGTACAAATGCTTACGTGTTGGTGGTACTGCGCGTTTTCCGCACACTGGAGGCGGCGACGCCTCCCAATCTCTTCTTTGCGTGTGTACAGACGCGCACGCGTGTGGTGTGAGTATGAAATATGTGGGTTACGTGCGTTCAAATTATAACCGATCAAAAAAGGTGAAGGCTGCCTCCACGGTTTCATTTCCTCTACAACCTCTTCAAAATCTATTATATATATTAATCTATTATATATTAATATAACAGTAACAAAAAAGAGCTCTACGTCCATGGAAAGAGTAGAAATTATAAGATTAATCAGAAAAAGAGAAGAATATCCATCGAGATGAACTAACGGCTGAGAATAAATTGAGTGTAAAAAAAGAAAAGAGTATGAACCGTTGGATTTTATGATGATCTAAAGACCATGAACCAATAGAGTATCTATAGGAATCCAAGGCCTAGAAATTATGAGATTAAAGAAAAAAAGCAAAGAATATACACAATTGGATTTTATGATGATCTAACAGCCAAAAATAAAATAGAGGATCCATGTCAAATATAAGACACAAAAATTACGATATTAATCGAAATAAATAAAAGAACATGCACCATTGGATTTTATCTTAACGGCCAAGAATAAACCGAATGTCCATGCCAAATACAATCAGCCTGTTCGCTTGCTCGTATACGATCGTGGATTATAAGCTGGAACAGTATTTTTCTCTCATACCAAACCAGCCAAAGAAGAATAATCCACCATTGCCACCAATTTAAAACTAATAACAGTGAATGTCTACAAATTACTAGATTAATTAGAGAAGAAAATATACAAGTGTTGGATTCATGATGATCTAACGATTCGAGAATAAATTGAGTATCTATGTCAAATACAATTAATAAATAACTCGATTCACTTCACATCTAATATGGCATGAAAATGTTATTATAATCTAATCTAGATATAAATGAAGATAATATACTTAGACACGAATCAAAGCTTTTGTAGGTGGACCCGATTGTATGTTAATTAGATGATGATGCCAAAAAATAAATTTTGGCAATATTGGTTCGAGTGAAAATTAAAAGGAAGAAGAAAGTTACTGACAGCCTGTTCGTTTGTTGGTTTCAACCAGAGCTTATCAGCCAGCCAACAGTGTTTTCCTCTCACAACAAACATGCACCGGCCGAACTTATCAGCTCAGAAACCAACCAGCGAACATACTCTAAAAATAGTGATTTTTTTAAAAAAAAAACTTCATATGCTCCTTGATAATATGGTCGAAGATATTAAAAATCAAGTGGCGGCACTAAAGACCGACCAGCATGGATCTCAAGGAACAGAATTTCAGTTTCATCTTTAGGCAGCAACATTGGGTGAACAATAAAAATTGGACAGACAAAAACATGCTTGGGACAATTGGAGACTAATATGTTTTAATCTTCTATAGGTTCATTACTATTAGATGATGATGTCAAGTATATCAAACACTTGCAAAGACCAATGAAGCGACAAAGAACAAGATTCTGGCCGGCATCAGTCTAATGACCAAAATCAGCCGATCTATGGACGATGAGAAACCACTTTTGAACAACTCAAGATGCTTCCACTGCGACTTAGCTAAGGTGCTGTTTAGTTGCACTTTATTTTACAAAAAATTTTAAGATTCTCCATCACATTGAATCTTTGGACGCATGCACGAAGCATTAAATATAAATAAAAAATAAAACTAATTACACAGTTTAGATTTAAATTCACGAGATTTAATCTTTTTAAGCCTAATTAGACTATGATTGGACATTAATTATCAAATACCAACGAAAGTGCTACGGTACCATTTTCCAAAAATTTTCGCGAACTAAACAAAGCCTAAGGGCAAGTATATTTCTACACGCCAACGATCTTGTAGGTAGTCTAATGAAAAACCATGTAGGGATTTTGATGGTGCTAAGAGATAGCGAGGTGAGAGAAAGATATCATTGTTTAACGAAGCAACCACCTAAGCTAAAATTTAGGACTATGTGACAAATCTCATAATGTTGTATGAGTTAAATACAACTTACAATATTTCTTTTCCTCTATGCATAAATTAAAAAATTATGAGTTACCTACGAGACCATCAAAAAAAAAAAAAAGATAAGTTACAACCGAAGTTGTTTATCAAGCTGGCTCATGAGTCATGATTGCGTGGATACAGTGGTGTTAGGCTCCTAGACATGAAAAGCACTATTGTGATAAATCAAACGAAACTTTAGGAAAAAAGAATCTATAGGTCCATAACAGAATATGCAAGGCCATCTCGGATTTAAATATATAAGACAACCAAGAATTAGATAAAGACTTAGAAAGTGGTTTCTATCGGTAACAGAGGCAATAGTTCAGGGTACCGTTCAATGAAAATTTATCGGACCCAGCGGTAGAAACGGATTTCGCGAATTTCGACGATTTTCGGAAAATTCGGTCTAAAAAATAGTCAAACCTATTTGAATTTCCCTCCGAGATTAGACGAAATCAACCCAAATTTTGACAAAAAAATCCGATAATCTTTAATCTCCAACAGAAGATGCACTGTTGTATTGCAAAGTTGTATTGCTGCTCTGTTGCTTCAGCCGGGGATCCACAATTCATGCACGGGAGAAGAGTGGTTGCAGGCTGATTGGCGGCGGACCGAGAGCAGCGTCGCCGCCGCGAGCGCACGCGAATGCCTCAGGCGGCTCCCTTCCCACCATCGCCACGGGCACTCGCTCCCCCTCGCACTTTGCCCGTCCAACCGCAGAGGACTGGATGCCGGCTCCCTAGGCATGCGAGCAACAGGAGATGGAGAGCAATGGAGGGAGGCGGCGGCGGCTGAGGGGTGAGGAAGAGAGAAAAATAAAATTCTGCTCGCTTAGGGCTTCAACCATAATGTTATATAGTAGGGCATAGATATATGGGCCATATAGGCTTGGTTGGGCCGAAAACAAATTCAAACTGGGCCGAAATTGAAAGGCCGGTATGAGCTTTTATCGGACCCCGGCGATAGAAACGATTTTCGGCGAAAATCTGCCGATATTCTGAACTACAGAGCTCACCGAAATGATACCAAGACTTTTTTGATTTGGCCTCAGCTAAAATTGCACGGTCACATGATAGTAATAGAGAAAAAAAGAGGAGACAAAAAAAGGTAACTAACTGCGCTATTTGCGTCGACCAACCTGCTAGTTGTAAACAAGTTTAGCTTTGTCTTGATTCAAATTTCTTTAGTTTTAGTCAAATTTATAAAAAATATACAAACATTTATAATACCTGTATTAAACACCAGTACACCACGATATATATTGTTGGAAATACGGACTACTACTAGACATATTGTAATGGCTGGGACCCACGCGCGAACATAAAAAAAAAACACTCTTCTTTAGTACGGAGTACATATTTTCTTTTCCCAATTTCACTTGCTTTCCCCATTTCACTTGCTTTCCTTCCGCCCATTGACGAGTTGACGACCCAAGGTCCCAAATCGAGGTGAGTCGCCTGCGCCGGTGACGGTGAGGCCGCCCGCAATCCGCCATTCTCACTGCCGGTTCCGTCTCGCCGCCATCGAAGAGGGTGGAGGTAATAAGCTCAATCTCAAACCCCAGGTTCTTAAGTTCTGTCAACTGTTCTGTTTTTCAGACGAAATCTAAACATTTTAGATCAATCAATGGAGACTTTTTTTTTAATGTCGCACTTGTTGAAACGGATCCACTCGAGACTTTTTTCAGATCGACTTGGCTTATTTTCTTTCTGCTGGATACATTTCTCCGCTACTTTGTGCTCACTGTTCACTGCTCAGTGCTCACTCGCGACTCTCGGAATCGGAGTAAGCCCTCTTTAGCTGCTTTTGCGACCTTCAGTTCTCACTCTCGGAATCTCCCGTTGATTTCTGATGCCCTCGCCCGTGCAGCAGCAGCAGTCCATCACTCCATCCATGGGGGCCTCCTTCTCGAACCTCACCGACGCCGCATGCGCCGTGCACCAGTTTAAGATCAACGGCTACTCGGCCACCAAATCCATGGCGAGGACGGACACGCTCCCATCCAAGCGGCTGGCCGTGGGCGGGTACGAGTGGGAGGTCCACTACACCCCGAGCCTCGTCGTCGACGGCGGCTACTGGATTGCGTTCAGGCTCGTCCTCCTCAGCGCGCCGCGCCGGAACGACGTGAAGGCCGCGTTCAGATGCCGGCTGCTGTATACTTCCTCCAACTCCTACTACGGTCATGAACGCGGTGCGTGCGTCAGGGATTCAATCGGGAACGTGGAAGGCCAGATGTCTCATGCGTTCAAGCGGGCGAAAGAGAGCTCCGGATGGATTCCGCTCCGCAAAAGGAATGATGTGGAGGCGGCCCGGGTCATCGAGAACGACTCTTTCACCGCGGAATGCACCATCACGGTCGTCACCGAATTACCGGAGCCTGACACAGCAAAGACTAATGTCGTCCGGCCCCCAATTCCGCCATTGTCGGGCTTGCATTCCTTGCACCATGATCTCGGTGAGCTCTTGAGCAAGGCAACGGGATTTGATGTCGTGCTGGTGGTGTCCGGAGAGACCTTCGCAGCGCACAAGGCCATACTTGCATCAAGGTCCCCGGTTTTCATGGCCCAATTCTTTGGCCCCATGAAGGAGACGCACTCACAGAGGGTGGAGATCGTGGACATGGAGGCACCTATATTCGGAGCCATGCTTCGCTTCATGTACACCGACATGGTGCCCGAGCTTGAGCTGCAGGAGGACTGCACCATCATCACGCAGCATCTGCTTGCGGCTGCGGACAGGTACGGACTCGACACGCTCAAATCGATGTGTGAGGACAAGCTCTGCGATGGCACAAGAGTGGAGACGGCAGCGACAACTCTGGCGCTGGCAGAGCAGCACGGTTGCCCGAAGCTCAAGGCCAGGTGTGTTGAGTTCATCGCTGCAAACCTTGATGACGTCATGGCGACAGAGAGTTACAAGCATCTCATGACAAGCTCCCCATTGGTTCTGAATGACCTCCTGAGAGCTGTGCGTGGAAGAAAGAACTGAAGCAAGTTGGTGATGACTGATGAATAGTCCCTGTAGTATGTAATTTAGAGTAGTTGTATTGTATCTGTACTGTCTCTGAATTTCAGTGTTGAAGTTATATTTCTTCCCATTGAGGAAGGGTGGATTACTGGAAGGATCTTTGCCCTTTGAGAGCTTGACCTGATATCTAAGAGCTGTCCCAGGTCATGTTTTTTATGGGTAGTTTCTAGAGGAAAGAGGTAAGACCTAACTATAACCTAATGCTACAGAGAAGAGAACTAATGATCATTCGCAAGTAGTAATAAACAAAGCATGATCAGCTGTAATTTGGTGTGGCCAAATGGTGCTAACGCACAACAATGACACTTTTACAGACACCTCAGTTGACATGTGTTTGCAACCAATATACCATCCATCATCCATATTAGCTGTGAGAACATTACAATTTACATAATGTCAAGTTAATCCAATCAAATCTAGAGTTAATCGAATCTAGAGTTAGCTTAGTTTACTAACTGTAAGCATTGCATCGAATTGGTGAAAGGGTTCATAGTGGTTTTGCTATGCATTTCCAACCTAGAATCCAGAAATCTGTAAATCTGTCCCCAACTTGATCTTCTCAAAAGCAAGGCCACCTCATTAGAATGCTAATTAGTAACTTTTTATTAATCCTTCTTCATTTCAACAAAGTTATCCAATCACCAACTCATGCTACTAGCTAGTATAGTAGTGCATGCCAATACCTTTTCCCCGTTTTTGGCTTCCTAAATTCTACATCGTATACAGAGGCTGCAAGATCTTATAATCAGACTGATGTCAAGCCAAATAATAATAGCACAGGTGTGAACAGTTTCTTCGGAAGCAAAAGAAGCATGTGTCTGTCTGTCAGTCAGAGAGCAAGAGAAGAACAGGGTCATTCATTCATATTTGAACAACAGTAATCAAACCCAGAATCTAGTGACATCATAGCTACACTACAGGAGCAAGTCGATCCATATCAATAGCATAAAGGCCCCGTTCGGCTGGCAGAATCTTAGCTGAAACTGGCTGGTTCTGTGAGAGAGAAACACTATTTGGCTGGATGGATGAATAGTGCCACGTGAGGGGAAACCAGCCGGCTGGCTGGTTTCTTCAGTCCAGCGAACACAGCCAAAACTACTAACTTGCCCTGAACCCTGACAGATTTAGTTTTGCAAGCACCATTTATTCAGTATCGATCATGCTGCTTGCTCAAAACTTACCCCACCCATTACGATTAAAATATATATATATATATATATACTACAGGAGCAACTCGATCATATCAACAGCGTAAAAATATTAGGCCATGTTCGCTTCTCTTATAATCCGTTTTTTTAGCTTGTTTTTTTTCAGCCGGAACAATGTTTTTCTCTCACAACGAATCATCCGGAACAGTGTTTCGGCTTGTTTTTTCAGCGAAACAAATAGGGCCTAACTTGCCCTGAACCCTGACAGATTTAGTTTTGCAAGAACCATTTATTCAGTATTGATCTTGCTGCTTGCTCAATACTTGCCCTGCCCTTTCTGATTAAAAAAAAAGTTTGCTTTCCCCTGACCTAACATATAGTTTCATAGGAAGTTATAAAAACATATTTAGGTGACACAGTGAGAAATTTCCAATGTTTCCATTTCCTTCTGTGTTTTGCTACATGCAAAGCGATCTCTGGCAATTGTGGAAGTAACAGCACTAACTAGTAACACAATTGTGGATGTAGATGTCAGCGCACAGCTAACCTTGTTGGTGTTCGTCGACGGCGCGCGGCCTTGGCACGAGTGGCGAGCTCCATTGCGTCCGGGGACAGCGTCGTGTCGGCGCCCACGCTGTGCTCGTCGTCGGGGACGGCACAGGAGAACCGGGGAGCCCTGGGAATCAATGAATCGCAAACAATCAAATGAAGCAGCAGAACCGACATGAGCATGGCTGGCAGGGCAGACTGTAGGAGACTAGGAGCTCGACCTTGGGCCGGCCGGCCGAGGGATGGGTGGACGGACAGATCAAGTGCGGTGCGCGTACGTGCCCCTGACGACGAAGTCGTCATGGGATAGTCGGATTGATGAGGCGGAGCATGTTAGAGATTAATCTTGTCATTAGAGCATTGCATGTTTATGTTTTCAGTTGTATTTAGAAAATAATTGTCTGTGTGTAGTTCTCTGCATGTTTACATAGGAGTATACATGTTTGGTGAGAGGCCATGCCATGTGAAGTGGCAGTGCATGCTCGTGATAATTGTTGTAACATGTTTAGGCTGCACGAGAGATTAATTAGGAACTAGCCATGCATAGGATTCTATTCTGGGTCAAAGCCACGAAGTGTTTTCATGGCGGAAGAATAGGACGGCGTCCGGGGACTGGGCACTTGCATGCTGCTAGCATGTTTCCACGGTTGCACGTTGCGAGATGCAGCGTGAGTCTCGGCTGAGTGATTTTGGCTGGCCGTTTATTTCATGCATGTACTTGAGTTTATATATGAATGAAAAGCGACGGGAGTTGTGTGGCTTACGTCAACAAAAGAAAACTGCTAGCTTGTGCCATTCATGACGCAGCGTGTATCTACCAAAGAGAGCGAAGCGAAAGTGTTTGCGATAAACACTTGTTGGTGAGGGAGAGATTCCCAACATCGGTGAGGGAGAGAATTCCAACAATTGGTACCGAGCGGTTTTTCAACGAAGACGATCTGCCATGACGATTCTTCATCGGGCAAAGCCATTGTGAGTGGTGGTTTCGGCGACACGACGACAACGACCGCGGCGACGGGGAGGCTCCCATTCCCGATGCTGACCAGGACGAACTACGCGTCGTGGGCGCTGAGGATGAAGTACATCTTGCGCACCAATGGTGCGTGGGGTGTTGTTGATGCTAAGAAGGCATCCGGCGTACCGTCGATGAGAGCAAGGACTGCCTAGCCTTGACGATCATCTCACAGTCGATCGACGACGAGACGCTTCTACGAGTTGCTGAGAAGGAGATTGCCGCTGATGTATGGGTGGCTTTGCGCTCCATGCATGTGGGCAGCGAGCGCGTCCGGGAGGCAAGAATTCAGTCCTTGCGGTCTGATTTTGATAACCTTAAGATGGGTGATGCAGAGTCCGTGGATGATTTCGCGTTGAAATTCACGGCGCTAGTTGGGCGCATTCGTGAACTTGGTGACGCGATGGACGAGAAGTACGTCGTGAAGAAGCTGCTGCGAGCCGTCTCCACCAAGTTCATCAACGCCGCTTCATCATTGATGCTTTTTAGCGACATTAACAAAATGGCCATGGAGGAGGCCATTGGGTCATTGAAGGCGCATGAAGAGCTCTTGAAGGGACGAGAGGTCCAAAGGGAAGAACAATGACTTCTCATGGCAAGAGCACGTGGACTCGTCTGGAAGTCATGGTCATGTCCGTGATGACGCGAAGGACAAGAGCAAGGTAAAATGCTACAATCGCCAACAGTTTGGACATTTTGCTTGGGAATGTCTGAGAAGAAAAAGAAAGATGAGATCGCACTCCTTGCCGCAGACATCAAGTGACTATGAGCCAGCTCTCTCTCCGTGAATGGCAATGCCAAGATTAGGGGGTAATTGTTAGAGATTAATCTTGTCATTAGAGCATTGCATGTTTACGTTGTCGGTTGCATTTAGAAAATAATTGTCGTGTGTAGTTCTCTGCATGTTTACATAGGAGTATACACGTTTGGTGAGAAGCCATGCCATGTGAAGTGGCGGTGCATGCTCGTGATAATTGTTGTAACATGTTTAGGCTGCACGAGAGATTAATTAGGAACTAGCCATGCATAGGATTCTATTCGGGTCAAAGCCACGAAGTGTTTTCATGGCGGAAGAATAGGACGGCGTCCGAGGGATCTGGGCACTTGCATGTTGCTAGCATGTTTCACGGTTGCACGCGTTGCGAGATGCGGCGTGAGTCTTGGCTGAGTGATTTTGGCTGGCCGTTTATTTCATGCATGTACTTGAGTTTATATATGAATGAAAAGCGACGGGAGTTGTGTGGCTTGCGTCAACAAAAGAAAACTGCTAGCTTGTGCCATTCTGTACGTGTGCGTGTATCTACCAAAGAGAGCAGGCGAGTGTTTGCGATAAACACTTGCTGGTGAGGGAGAGATTCCCAACATCAGTGAGGGAGAGAATTCCAACAGAGCATGCCTGATGCGAGGTTGCATTGCACCGCAGAGCAGGCGGGAGATCTCGCTCGGCACACCAAGAGGCGGCGGCGGCGGCGTGAACCTCTGATGGACGATATAAACAGCAAAGGAAATTCGGGAGCGCGGGCCGCAGCATAGATAGAGATTTTGGGACCGCTCTGCTCCATCTTTTGTAACTTTATTCCCAAATTTTTTTGCCAAATAGGTTCTAACTCCATAAACTTTGCTCCCAAAAAGATGGAGTTTTGGTCCAACTCCATGTTTTTCACGGAGCTCCTCAGATGGTACTCCACAGACCAGCGTTTCGTATGTCCTCGTGGAGTTGACGGTAATTATCCGTAATTGCCACTCGTTACGCAAATACCATTTCGTTCTATTTCCTCCCGTCGCCCCCACCCGACGCCCTCATCGTCCTCTACTCTCGTCGCCTCTCTCCTCTCTGCCGCGAGTACGCGCCGCCGCCGCCTCCCGCGTACTCCCCTGCTCGCCGTCCGCCGCTGCTCAATCCCACGAAGGAGCAGCGCACAGGCTGGCGACCCCGACGCCGATGGCCTGACCTCCACTGCCACACGGCCGCATCCCACTGCATCTGGTGGCCATGCGAGGCTCCGACCATTGACGTCGACCTCTAGGCCGTTGGGGCGGTTGCTGGTGACCTCGACCTCGACCTGGAGCTGGACTTCAGCTCGCTGCTCTCCGGCTTCATCTGTGCATCCACGGCTACCTTGCCTCCGACAGCCACAACACAGCAGGTCTAGATCCATGGCCCTTATCTCCATTCCCGATCTGAAGTATTTGGTTGTAGAAACTGCAAGGTTGCAAGCTGCGACCTGATCTTTATATATGCGTTTTATTTT